ACAATTTCTAGAGAAAAAGAATATTATGTAATGATGAAAATCAGTTCATCAGGAAGACGTAATAATCCTAAATATATACACACCAAATAGCATGGACTTAAAGTACATGAAGTAGAAATTGAGAGAGTTGTAGGGAAAAACCAGAAAAATCTACAATTATAGTTGGAGATTTCAACACCCCCTGCCAGCAACTGATAAAACAACCAGACAGAAAATCATCTAGGTTATAGAAGGTAAGAACACCACAGTCAATAAGGACCTAATTGGCATTTATAGGCCACTCTACCCAATTGCAGCAGGATAGACATGAATACTTTTTGTTGTTAATGCCTATGAAACATTCATCACATTAGATCATATTCTGTGTCATAAAAAAACTAAGAAATTTTTAAAAATTAAAAAACATAGAGTTTGTTTTTTTCTCACCCTAGCAGTGTCAGACTAGAAACCAATGACAGAAAGACAAGAAAATCTCTAAACATATGGAAGTTAAACAACACAGTTATGTAATTCATTGGTTAAACAGGAAATCTGGAAGGAAATTAAAAATACATAACTCAGTATAAAAATATTTGGGACACAGCTGAGGGAGTGCTAAGAGAACTTTATAGTGTTGTGTTTATATCAGAAATGAGGAAAGGTCTCAATTCAGTAATCTAAATTCATACCTCAAGAAATTAGAAATAGAATAACAAAGTAAGACCAAGCAAGTAGAAGAAGGATGTTATAAAGGTAAGTGCAGAAAGCTAAGTGAAAATAAAAAACAGTGAAGAAAACCAATTAAAGTGAAAACTGTTTCTTCAACAAGGAAATCAACAAAATTGAGAAGCTTCTCAATTTGAGAAGATGACAAATGAAGAAGACACAAATAGACAATATCAGAAATCAAATAGGGGATGTCACTACGAATCCTACAGATATTAGAAAGATGGTAGTGCTATGAACAACATTATGCTCATAAATGCGATAATTTAGGGATCAGTTTCTCAGTTCCTCAATAACTACAAGTTAGCAAAACTCAACTGAGATGAACTGACAACCTGAATTGCCTTGTCATCATTAAAGAAATTAAATTTGTAATTTCAGTGTTGCTAAGGAAAAAAATCTCTAGACCAAGATGGTTTTACTGGAAATTTTTACCAACTATTTAAAGAAATTTTGCACTAAACTTATACAGTCTTCCCCATTAAAAAAAAAAAAAAGGAAGAAACACTTCCTAACTTTTTTTTTTGGTACCGAGGATCAAACTCAGGCTCTTGTGCTTGTGAGGCAGGTGGGGAACCACTGACCTAAATCCTCGGTCCCTAATGCTTTTTATAAAGCTAAGATCACCCTGATGCCAAATCCAGACAAAAAATACAGAAAAAAACCCAGACCAATGCTCTTCAGGAATTTAGAATAAAAACTCTTAACATATGAGCTGTGTTCAAAAAAATACATGAATGTTTAAATTTTAAAAATTCATGACAGAAAAAGACAAATTGCCATTAATCCCCCTCAAAATACTCCCCCCTTGCTTCAAATACAATTATCCTATCATTCTTGCCACTTACTAAGCAGTTATGGAAATCCTTTTGCATGAGGATCTTTAGTTATGCTATTGTAGCTGTCTCAATGACCTGAAGTAATTTAAAATGTTTACCTTTCATGGTCATTTTCACTTTGGGGAAGCCCCAGAAGTTTCAGTTTGGTAGAGCTGGTGAATAAGGTGGATGAGGACACACTGTAATGTTAATTTTTTTAAAAATTCATTAAATTTATTGGTACATTTTAGGTATCCAATATGATGACATTCATCCTTGGGAATTTGTACCTGTACATGATGCATCTTGGTTCTTATTTTCCCCCATTTCCCTGCCCTCCCTTCCACCCCTCCACCCCTCCCTGTTTACAAAGACTTTGTTTCCATTTTTTCCTCTTCTCATATCTTTTCCTTTCCCTTCTTTCCTCACTCCTTACCCCCCCCCACACACACACTTCCCCTTCCCCTTCCCCTTTGGACCTTTTCTTCCTACTTCACATTATCTATTATACATTTTGGTCCTCACTTATACTTTCAGTTTCTCACACCAGAGAAACTATTTGGTATTCACACACATGAGGATACACTGTAATGTTTTTAAGATCCTGCTGATCCATTGCATGGGACTCAGCAGTAGCATGCACCGTATTTTTAAATCTTTAAATCCTAAAGACACTTTCAAAAGACAACTTCCAAAAATGCTTCAGAAAGTGGCAAGAATGATGGGCCAAGCATCTTAAAAGCAAGTTGTGTGTGTAGGGGGCGTTTGGAGAGGGAATAATGGAAATGCATCCTTTGTTGTAATGCGGATTTTAGAAACTTAAACTTTCACTATATATTTTGATCACACCACATTAGTAAACCAAATCCAACAGTATATGAAACAAATTATAGATCATGATCAAATGAGGTTTATTTCAGGTATGGAATGCTGGCTGAACATTTGAAAATCAGTCAGTGTAACCTACTATACCACCAAACTAAAGAGGAAAAAACATCATTTGACATGGAAATGCATTTGACAATATCTTATACCCAACAGTGAGAAGTCTCAACAAGTTAGGAATTGAGGAATGCTGATTTAACTCTGTAAAGATCAACGACAGAGCCTCTGCAGCTCATATTATACCTAAAGGCGAAAGACTTCCTTCTCCCTAAGATTAAGAAGAAAAGAAGTCCATTCTTACCAATTTTTTTTAAAATCAAAGCTTCAGAGATTCTAGCTACTGTAATAAAGCCAA